GGAAGGAAGGAAGGAAGGAAGGAAGGAAGGATGGATGGAAGGGGAAGGAAGAAAGAAAGATGCTCAAAAGCTCAAGTAACCCAGTCCTTCCCCCATGTACTGTTCTTAAAGTTGCATCTGGGAGAGGGAGAGATGCCATACTTCAGGGCCAACAATCCTCCGAGAAGGCAGATTCACCCACATTTCAAATCCCAAACTCCAGTTCAATTTTCTCTGTTGGTGTTCTCAGAACTCTCGTAAAATCTTTCAGACTGAAGACTTCCTCTGAGACAGGGCTTCGTGCCCCAGACCACTCTTCCTACTGTGCTCTCCCTAGCATGTTCTCCTTTGTTAACCTTTGCCCAGACTGATTGCTCGTCACTAGTTTTTGCACACATCTCCTAAAATAAAGGGCCCAAAGTTAAGCTGGCTCGCTAATCTGAGGGTGAAAATTAGTAGCTGCAGAGGGAGGAAAGTCATCACTCTGTGGTTTTGAGCTGCAGTGGACAGAGATGATGGTCCAGTCTAAGCCACCATCACCTGGCATGAGAACACTGCCGTGCAGAGATTAGGTGGTTCCCCCACAGCCACAGGCTTAGTTAGTAGCAACACCGGAGCCAGAAACCCTGCCCAGGGCTCCCGCATGAACCACAAACACAGCCAAGTACAACAGGGAGCCAAGGAGCCGTGAGGCCATTCGAACCTTTTGGGAAGTAGGTCTTTTACATGACTTCGTTGCTTGCTGGGGAGGACTTACTTACCCTGCTTCTCTGAGGTCCTCTTCCCAAGGCTATCCTGCGGTTTGCTCCTCCATGGAGCACTCATTCCACAATGCCTGGTGAGGGCCTACTATGTGTGTGTGCCAGTTGCTGAGCTTAGCCCGGAGCCGTGACTACAGCTCCAGAGGGAGCCCATTTTCACTACAGAAATGGAATCTCTAAGGAGCCACGAAGGAGAGACAGCAGGGGTCATGCTCCTGACAACCTTTCCACAGGTCACCTTTTGCAGAGACCCACTGATCACCGGCCTTTACTGCTGGGACACTTCAGAGTATGAGGGCTGGGCGCACTCCAGGTTGCTTCCAGCTCTGAGTGGCATTCCCAACAGGTGTGGGAGCCTTACAAGAGTAGGAAATACACCTTTGGATCTAGAAAACCATCGGCACACCTGCCACAGATGCCAGTCTATGAGAGTTAGTCAAAGTTTCAGGGGCCTGAAATCTGTTTTAATCTTTCACTTTCATGTATTAACTGTCACCCTGGAGAGTTCAAACCAGCATTTCCTTGGGCGGATAGAAGGTGATGAATTCATTTATATTCCATGGGGGATTTTAGAAGTAAGCTCTCTTCCAGCATTTAAAGTGTAATTTTTAGTCACTAAAAATTAGGTTTGCATGTACTTCATATATACATTATTAGGTGAATAAAGAGATAACTCCATTTGTTTTTGAACATGTTCACAGAAATGGTAGTCAAAGCATACTAAAAATATCAGTGCAATGGGGAACATATAAATAACTACAGACATTCTCAATTTAAAACAAACTTTTTTTTTTTACCCTTTTCTAATTCATGCAAAATCGGTACGATCCTTGTATTCCAAAAGACTTCGTCTACTTCTATTTCTGTATCCTTTTCTTGCAAGTTGGCTTTTGAGACTGCAAAAGAAACCCAGATCAGGAGAAAGCTGTGAAAAAGGAGTTGTACCTAGAGCACCATCTCAGGTCTGCTATTCATCACTAAAATTAACCAACTTTGTAATTAAATTATACCTCGCCCCCTAAGCCCAACTAATTCTAATTAGAACTATGTGTCTCTTAATAAAATCACCTCAAATCAAACTCAAGATAAGATCATGTAAAGAAATTAGAACTTTAAACTCTGGTTGGGACATTGTGTAATGTCTTAAGCTTTGTCAATGTTGGAATTATTGTAAGGCAAACAGGTGGTTTTTGTTTTGTTTGTTTGTTTGTTTTTAAGTAAGCTCTACACCCAACACGGGGCATGAACTCATGACACTGAGATCTAGAGCTACATGCTACACTGACTGAGCCAGCCAGGTGCCCAGGAAGACGGATAGTTTTGAGTTATTTTTTACTTTAAATGTACCACTCTGTACTCTCCGTAATATGGAATAAATAGAAAACTATAGATATGTAAAGAATAAGGATTTTGAAAATGTTTGATGAAAATTTTTCTCAAAGGAAGAAGGCCTGCAGAAACTTTCTTTCCTATAGAAAATAAAATGTCCACATCATTGTGCGGCGTGGTGGGAAAAGCCTGTGCTTTGGGCATTGACAGATGTCAGTTCAGATCACAGCTTCATCACAGATGTACTGGGTGACCGGGGTCTGGTTTTTCACCCTTTCTGAGCCTCATCAGTGAAACAGAAGACGAAAATCTTTGCCTTCGGGGCTATGAGAATTAAAAGACATGATATAAGTAAAGCTCAGAGCCCAGTGCCTAACGTCTAGCAACAACAAATGTGAATTTCATTTTCCTAATTAAAAAGCAACAGGCCACTGCTCTCTGAAGTTTATCCAGCTGCATGATACCAGCGAATTATCAAAAACAGATGCTGCCCATGAATGAAGGCTGTAGAAGAGTAATAGCTACCATTGATCGGGTACTTTAAGATGCAGCATGCCTCTATTTAATTTTTGTAACAACATTATGAGGAGGTGCCCAAATTGTCTCCATTTCCAGATGAAGAAAGTGGAGCTCAGGAGTATTAAGTTACCTGCCCACGGTCATATAGCTCCATAGCCCTTGCACTTGACCTCTCTCTATGCTATTCCACCGCTACAGCAAAAACAGTAAACTGAAAGGTAGGAGGGAAATGTGAATCATATTAGAAACTGCAAATCATGATTACATTTCACACAGGCTATATCTCACTATCTAAAGCAAGACAGTGTAGTTGGAGGAGGCACTGCTGTGCGAACCCTCAGGAGCAGTGCTTAGCCTCCCTTCTCTGAAGTCTGCCCCATAAGGCCTTCACATGGTGCCCAGTCTATACTGGTTTAGAGTCTGTGCCCGCTCAGAGTGGACCCAGTACCGATCAGTCAAGTGTCCACAGTGGGTGCCTAGATCCTACATATATCACATGAAGACTTAGAAAGGATAGAGATGGGGTGGCTCATCTGGTTACGTGTCAAACTTCAGCTCAGATCATGATCTCTCAGTTCATGAGTTCAAGCCCCGCACCCGGCTCTGTGTTGACAGCTTAGAGCCTGAAGCCTGCTTCAGATTCTGCGTCTCCTTCCCTCCTTCCCAGGCCCCTTGCCTGCTTGTGCTCTGTCTCTCTCAAAAATGAATAAACACACAAAGAAAGAAAAGAAATGATAAGTACAACGAGGGTTTCATAGAGAGGAAGGAGAGAGAGAGAGAGAGAGCAATGAAAAGGTGTATGGCCTATTTATTTTTAGATTGTTTTAACTGGGCAACAAAACAAAACAAAACAAAACAAAACAAAACAAAACAAAACAACCGGCTGACCAGGGAGGCCTGTTAAGAGCACAGGTTCTAGATTCACTGTCTGGGTTTGAATCCTAGCTCTCCCACCTACTAGCTGGTAGACTGTGGGCAAGTCGCATCACTTTGCTCTGTAAAATGAGGTAAGAAGGGTCATTTCCAAGTTAGGATTAGGGGTTATTAATTTCTTTTGTGCTCCTGTATTTATATTACTCTTGAGAAGAAAAGAAATATACATACAGTCTACACTTCCCAGGTGCACGGTGACAATGTCACCCAGGAGAAGCAGGGAGACTATGCAATTTACCCATGCTTCCCAGTGCACGGAGGCCCCCTCTAATCCGCTCCACCCTGGGAATAGCCATTCCAGTTGCAGTGAGTCCAGGCTTGCCTCTTATCAAGGCTTCCTGATACGAAGAGGGGATGATGTACGCTGGGTGTGAAGAGCATTTGAGCAGAAAAAGTAGACAGAAAGGGGTTGTCAACGAAGCTATAATTAAATAGTGTAGGTGTGCTGTCAACAGTTTGCATAGCACAGCTTCACATAATCTGTCTAACCCATAAAGAAAAATTCACCATAATACACAAAGGTGCAATGTCTTTAGGACAAAATCGGTCCACGTTAGTACGGGCTCACAATCCCTTATCCAAAGCCTTTGGAGCAGACGTGGTTTGGGATTCAAAAAGTTTTGAACCTTAGTAAGGCAAAATGGTACACACTGCATATTACACACCACCCCCAGTAGGGTCTTCTGGCAGCACCCTGCAGCAAGATATGTGCATATTCACGCCAATAAAAGAAAGACTAATCTTGGCCTACCATCAGTTCAGGTCAGGCACGGCCACTAAATGAGTCTGAAAAATACGTCAGCTTTCAGAGCATTCCCAAGCTGCAGCTTTGGGATTTCAGAACCGTAGGTAATGGATGCTAGACCACCATCTCAATCTTTTAGGTCATTACTTTTATGAGCCTACCCTAACCTTGATAAATTACAGGTACGGAGTCTAAAAGTAAACCTGAATATTCAAGCAGAATACATGGCTGCTCATAGTCCCAAGTATCTGACACAAAGTCCAAAGAATGTGAATAAAGTCAACATATATCAAGGCAAGTGAAAAGCCAGAAGATAATAACTCAGACAAATAATTTAATCACCAAATATTTATGGCATACTTAAGTTTACTAGAAATACAGACTCCAAGTCCAATAAGTCCAAATCAGCATTTTTACCTCCCATGCAATATGCTGTTAAATAAAACAGCTCTGTGAGAAACCATGATTATCAATCTGCTTCTCAGGACAAACAAAATCAATAACATGCTCACCCTGGGAAGAACTGAATTACAGGGGGGAGCCAGAAATCACAGAACAGTTTGTTTAACCTTGGGAAAGGAAAGGTTCTTGCAGGCCTTCCGACTTGTCTCCTCTCAGAGAAGTGAACCAGACACTGTGGCGTAAGGGTTCAGCCCTCTCCCAAGAATCAGTGTGAGCGGTGGTGCCCAGCTCCAGCCTTTGCACGTCTTCCCCCCCCCCTTGTGCCCCTCCCAACTCTGCTTTCTGCAAAATTCCCATTTTATATACTTAACCAGTCTCCATTCTAGCAACTGAAGCATGGAATCCTGTGATTACTCTTTAAGATTTACAAAAACTAAATAAATAAACTTTGCCTCAGTCTTGGGCAACAACCTAATATTTTAGAAAGCACTTTCCTCTAGGTTCACAGTTTGCTAAATATAAAAATTATGATTCAACAGGAAATTGGGTAAGTCAAGCAGAAATTTCAGCATGTTTTTGACGATTTTGCTGTCTCAGTGGTTATAGGTTTTAACCACAGCTTTGAGCTCTGGATACAAAAACTTGACACAATGTTTATTGGCTGACGTTTTTAGCAAGTAAGTGTAAAATCCTTAGCAACAGTTCTGATGTGGAAATCAGTCTAAGATTTTCCTGAGTGTTACAGAAATTCCCATTGGCCACAAAAGTCATTTTATTGATAAGAAGTTAGTTGTGAAAGTAATAAAATACTTTTCGAGCCCGATAGTTTGGTTTCATAAAATTTCATGTGCACGAAAATAGTGCGAAGAATATAACAAACACCTGTGTACCCACAAATAGTTTGGTCAAATATGAATCGTATTTTTAGCCTCTCCCTTATTTCAAAGAAATAAACATTACAGATATAGGTGCCTCCCCCGGTCCATTCCCCCTCCTTCCTCTCCCTCCAACGGTCACTGCCATTCTAAATTTCTTTGTTTTTAGTGTTTATTTATTTTTGAGACAGAAAGAGAAAGAGTGTGAGTGGGGGAGGGGCAGAGAGAGAAGGAGACACAGAATCTGAAGCAGGCTCCAGGCTCTGAGCTGTCAGCACAGAGCCTGACGCAGGGGCTTAAACTCAGGAACCATGAGATCATGACCTGAGCTGAAGTCAGACGCTTAATTGACTGAGCCACCCAGCATCCCGGGTCACTGCCATTTTAAATCAGGTGGTTATTTTTATCATGTTTGACTTTACATGACACCACCTGGATCTGCATCCATAAACAGCATAATGTCATTGTTTCTGCAACTTAATGTTTTCATGTAATATTATGTGCACTCATTTCAGTCAATATTATAAGTGTAGTCTAATTCATGTTTCTAACCGCCATATTTCATTGCATGAATACATTTTGCATCATTTCTAGCCTGTGATTTATATTGTCATATATTTTTTTCTCAAACAGATAAAAGCCCCAAAAGGCTGAATTCACACAGTTAATACAGTTTCCTTTAAGTGAGCAATGATTTTGAACTCAGGTTTTGAACTTAAGAACTATGTCAGTGTCAGGTTTTACAATTTTCCAAGTGCTTTTACAAAATAATTTCTCGTACAATCACTAATACTGTAATCTATAAATGTTTGGGGCACTAGAACTGGGTAATGGTAAGAATTTTAAGACTTGTAAAAATAATAAAAAATGTATAAAAACAAATGTTGATGTGAGACCAAGTTGGACGAAGTTACTAGAGTTTTCAAACAGAGAGCCGACAGCAGACATGTTCAGTGTAAATGTCTTTCCTACAAATGGAGATGCTGATGAGGAAGGAGCACTGGAGACCTTTAAGAACACAAGCACCTCACCTGCTCTGGCTTCCAGTCGGCTCACGTCTGAGCTGCTGGAATATGATGAGGCTCTCGAACACCTCTTCCCCTGCTCCCTAGGAGGAAGAGGAATACGCACACCATTCAGCACAAAAACCAAAGTATTTCTCTTTCTATAAGTGTAGAGCTGGTTATATGTAGCTTGTCAAGAAACCACAGAGAATTGTTTATAAGATGTGGTTTGATACTCTACACCCCTTTAATTATAACATCTGATTTCCAACTAAGATTTATTGATCGAAAAACAAGTCGGATTTGCTTAAAATATTAAATATAGTTACCAGAAACACCAAAAAGTAAATAAATACATACATACATACATACATCCTAAGTTTACTTTGCAAATCAAAAAACTGATAAGGATATATACCACAAGAGGTCACTGTTGCAATAAGAAAGAACTCTGGTATGCAGGAATCACAAAAGACCAGCATTCAGGAGCTATAAGAGGCCCTTCCTCTCTCTCCCTGCACACAAGAAAATTATTCCCAAATTGGTCAGATGTGCCCAAGGTCAAAAAGCAGGGTCAGGTGTGGAGCCCAGGTCTCATAATTTCCAATTCACAGTTCCTTCTACTTCATCACAGAGTATCCTGTTTCCATTTTAAAAATTCATTAGTGTTCCTCAAAATGCTTTATTTTTAGAAACAGTCTAAATGTGAAAAAATTGAAGGTAAATTCAGGAAGCCCCCAGATGATAATATTCTGTGTTCCAAATAAAAGACTAGTGGCTGGCCAATAGCAGGATTATATTGCCCCCCACCCCGCCTTTTTAAGGTTATAGTTAATGTAGAGACCATCTGGGAAGGATACAACTTTTCTTTAGCTACAGTGATACTTAAAAGCACTTATTTTAAACATCTGTACAAAATTCCAAGGTAAAAAACACTGAGAGCAAGTTTTTCAACATTTTTTTTTTTATCAAAAAATCACAAAGAATGGATATACTTGTGGCCAGGGTCACTCACAAGCATCCAAATGTGTGCCTGTGTAATAAGATTCCTAGGAAATGTTCAATGCTACGTCCTGGTCCTTGGCTTTTACTGCTGCCCTAAAGATTAGCTTCTCCAAATATCACTTTTTTCCATAAAATGTCCTTTTTTTAAAAACATTTGACACTTGGTTTTATCATTTAGTAGACTGAAGATCAAGCTAATCTTCCTCAAAATGTCTAATTATTTCATACTCTGAGACAATTGCTTTATTTTTATTCAGTGGAAAAACATAGATCTGGTAGCAAGATCTCCCTGGCGAATCAAAGAAAGAGTGTGGGTTGAGATGGATCTTCTTTGTCAACACTCTAAGAGTTGAGATTCAAATGGAACAGATCTCAAAGAAGACAAAAATAAAGTAAATCTACCCTATGAGAAGGTAAAATACCAAGAGTGTGACAGGGTGTGAGGCCAAGGAAGTTCTCACACTCATCACTCCTAGAAATAACAAGAAAGTCTGAGGACAATAGAGGCAAGTCCTTCTTTTCACTATTGTCCTAAGCAACTACTGAAATCAAGCAGGATAGTTTTCAACTAATAGCTTTCCAAAGTCACTGGTCCACTCCCTCTGAGTCATGGCCAGTGATGAGGTTGCCTCCCTAAATTATACCACATTTATGTATCCCCACTTCTGGGTGGGGGAAAAAAAAAGAAGGGTCCTTTTTCTTATGATATACCAAAGTTCAACAGTGCTGGGTCTGACTAACTCTCAAAAAGAGCATGGATTGGGATTTACTAATACCCTCCGTGATCATCAGTATACAGTGATTGAGTTTGCAGGCTCTGAATCCAAACTCCCTGGGTCCTGGGTCCAACACTTATCAGCTATGTGGATTTGGGCCACTTACTTAAGCTTTTAGCCTTGGTTTTCTAATCTTAATATGAGGGCAATTCCTCTCCTTAGTACAGTGACTGGTACGTTTGAAGAACTTAACAGTCAATGTTAGTATTTTCTTTTGTTCTGGGTCAACAAGCACCTGTCTGAATAATCCAATGCTGGATGTTATTGTGATAAAGAATATATGAAGAGTTGCCCTGAAGAAGTCTAAAATCTACTTGAAGGAATTAAGCACCTTTTTTTTTTTAATGGAAAATTCCAATGGAGTCTCTAATCAAGTACTAGACTGTGAAAGTCAGCAGTTCATAAGAACTGGAGGGATGCTGAGAAGGAAGTGATTAGTGAGAGGGAGATGTGGGCCACAAAGTGGGTCTTAAAGAATAAAAGTTGAACCAGCAAGTGATAACACTACTCTCAGGAGAGAAGCATGAGCAGCCTGGTACTCAGAGTAAGGGATAATTGCACAGGGCCAGCAAGGAAGGAATAGGAGGTTTCTGCTGGGACATACAGGGAACAGCTGCCTGAAACTCTGGGTGGAGGCAATGGGCTGGTCTGTTGGGCAGTAAGGAGCTGTCTTAGGTTCTATCGCAAGGAAGTAATGGGATCTGGAGTTGTGCCAAGAACATTTAGGAGACTTGGAGACAGGTAACAAGAACTAATTCTTCGGGGGCGCCAGTGGGACTGGAGAAAACAACAAATTGAAGAGATTCTGTAAATGAAAAGCTGATAGGATTGGTGGTTGATTTCAGGTAGAAGAAAGGACAGAAAGTGCACTTGGAGAAGCAGGATAGCAGGGTTGCCATCAACAGAAATGGGAAGGTTAGGGGGTAGAACAGTGTGAGGAGTAAAGCACACGTGAGGTTTGCCATATTGATTTCTGGTGAAAAATGGAGTATCGGCAAAGAAGATGTGGAAATCAGGAAAAGAGTTCTATTAAAGCTCAGAGTGGTATATAGGAACTAGAGTCATCAGGTTTGTGGCTTGGAGACCAGAATCTCAGGACAAGGCCTTGTCAAATACTCATATAAAGGATCGCAAGGGGAAAAGGAGTGCAAAGGAAGAAGAGAAATAAAATATGTTCTCATGCATCTCAAGCATGCTGAGAAGACAGGCATGACTAACTCAGGTCAAAGAAGACAAAAACTGAGGAAGAACTGTCTAGTCTGACCAGGGTATGCCTTACAGGGCTTCTGGGGAGCAGTACAGAAGTCCCACAATAGGAGTGAGGTGGGGAGAGGGGCATCAAGAAAAGAAAATCCTCTCCCTGCCAGAGAAGAGAAGAATGGGTGGCCTTATAGTTAGTGGAAATCTGTTCTCCTGTAACTTCCTGGTTCTATGTACTAAATGGAGCCATATGAAACACATCTTTATCCTTCTTCCTCTTGACAATCCTTCACATATTTAAAAATGTGGTGTGACCACTTAACATCATCTCCTATGGTTTAAATCCCATGGTTCAATTAGCTACATCATTAGCTAATTATCATCATACTAATTAGCTGTGTGACTCCAGGTCCGTTTTCCGAACCAGGAAAGCTTTGGTTTCCTCATCTATATATGAGGGGGTGGTAAATAATAGTAACCCTCTATATAAGGTTGTCGTGAGAATTAAATGATCCAATGTGGGATTGCTAGCAGAATTCCAGGTACCTAGTAAGTACCCAGTAAATGTTTACTGTTATTACAGCTGCCATCACTGATGTCAGCAACGAATTTCTCCAGTCCCTCAATGCATCCTCATGGGATGTGGTTTCAAATCTCTTTGCCAGCCTATTCAGTTACTCTGAGTGAGTGGCAGTTTCTCGGGATCCATTTAGAGTCTGGAACCCGGCACTGAGATAAAGGTATGGCCTGAGGAACAAAGAAGAGAGATTCTAAATAATGCAGCCTAGAGCTACATTAGTGGTTTTGGTGGTCACATCACAGTGTTGGTCAATTCTTGTTTTTTTTCTCACATATGCAGCAAATGCAGATTTTCTCCATCCATGGTGGATTCATTAAATCTCACAGTTATATTTGGCAAAGGGTTCCTGTCTATCAGATGTTTCTGTATTTTGATTCAGTCATCCAGTATAATTGTTCTTCTTCCCAGTTTCCTGTCCCATGTTGTCAAAGACCGTAATTAATTTTCGTGCAATGATTTTTGATGTCCAATAATAAAACAATTCCAAAAATCATTCTTTAAAGCTCTTTTGTGAAATTCTTCTAGGAGGCAGAATAACACCATTTAATTAGTTATGGTATCTTCATCTACAAATAACAATAACAACAACAAAAACCTAATTCTAACAGACTTACCCCAAAAATGGAATATACTGGCTCATATAATCTAAAAGTTGAACACTAGGGTAGGTTTTAGGTGTGGTGTGATCAGGGCTTTGGCTCCATCTTTCTGCAGTTCTATCGGTTCTGCCCTTCCTTCGTTTTGTAATCAGGCTGGAGTAGTGAAGAAGGTGAAATGGCTATATGGCATTCCCAGGCCTCTGATAGACTACCGATCAGAGCAAAAGTAAGGTGTTCTCTTCCCAGTCACTGACTGGAGTCCTACATTTCACTCTGAACACCAGAACCAAGTTCTGTCGTAAAGGCAATGCCACACAGAGGCTGACTGCTCATCCACCAATCAGTCACAATAGCAACACCTACTTCTGGACCACATATGCACTGAAGAAATAAAGTATATTTCTTTAAAAATATTCTAAAACTCAGATTTCTCTATTATTTAGACAGGTTTTTCAATTATTTTGATTAAGTCAGAGTTCAGCAAGCGTTTTCTTAAAGAGCCAGACAGTATACATTTTACACTTTGCAGGCCAAATGGCAAAATAGAAGCTATTATGTAAGTACTTTTGTAACCATTTAAGTGTAATGACTTAAAGATGTATAAACCATTCTTAGCTCAAGGGCTGTATAACAGAACAAACCAAAACAGGTGGCTGGCCAGATTTGGCTCCTGGGCTGTAGTTTGTTGACTCCTGCTTTAAAGCAGAACTATAAAGACATTAAGAAGGATTTGGAAGCGAGGGGAAAAAAAGCAATAAATTTATTTCCATTTGGAAAAAAATCACATGTAAGAAAATGGGAAAGAAAATTTTAAAGGTATGTTTAAAATTTTAAAGCCTATTTAAATTTTAAATGTGCTAATTATCATAAGCATACGATAAAAAGATAATTTAGCAAATTTTGAGCTAAACTTTCCTTACCCTAAGAAAAAGACACTTCATTTT